AGAGGATCCGCCCAATGCTGCCGATCTCATCCCTGAAGGAAACAGCCGGGGCTGCTGCAGGAGCGGCTCAGAAAGTGGGGGGCCCCTTGGCTTAGGCTCAGGGGAGCCCCCTGAGCGGGAATGCTTTCCTACTCGGGGAGGCTCCTTAGATTCTGCAAGCACAGGTTCCACTGGCTGTTGAAAACCCTTGTCAGGTGTTCCTTCCTGGGCCAATGGGAGAGCAGGTGGGGGTTGCTGCCCTTGCTGGGTTTCCTTCAGAGCCGGCAGCAACTCAGGTTCCAGGGGCTTTCCCTCCCGGCCCCCAGACCCATCACGTACCCTAGGTTCGTCTTCCAGGGCCTTCGCTTCCCTCACTCCCTCTCTCTCATGTCTCTGCAGCCTCAGTAACATCACAGCTAATTTCGCTTGCTGCAGGACGATCTCTTCTTGCACTACAGCTGCTTTTCCAAAGGCTGTTGAGATTCGTTCTTGCTGGGCAGATATTTGTCCAAGCTTCTTGGAGAGAAGGTAGATAAGGTTCGCTGCAGGTGCAAGCAGGCTGGTGATCATGAAGGTGATCAAGGCCCAAACAACTGCTGCCATGGCTTTCCCAAGGAACCCCTCTAGGCCTTCAGTTCCACCCCCTCTCCAAAATGGAGGTTCCTATGTGTTCTCCAGCAGGAGAGGGGTGAAAGAGATGCATCCTCTGCAGAGTATCCCAGGGAATTTCTCCTCCCCCGAGGCTCTCCCTTAGATGTCTGCTCTCCTCTGAGACCTTTCTGTCAGATGTCCTCTGCCTCCTGCAACCTGGGTGGGTTCTCTCCTTCCTGATCAGGTTGGGTTCCACTGCAAACACTTCTGGTCCCTTCTGACTCTAGGGATTCACCTGACTCTCTTCACCAGCACAGAACTGCACTCAGAAAATAAACAAAGGGTAGTGGGTTGCTGGAGGGAAGGGGGTGGGGTGGCGATCCAGCATTCAGCTCCACCTCACTGCACAGTGAGAATTCAACTGAGCTGCTCTGGAGTGCTGCACTCTCTTTAAGAAGTCTCCCTTTCCTGGTGGGCGGATCCTATCTCTGACTCTTGCTGACGAGTCCTTCTCTGATTGGCTCTTGTCTGCCCCTCCAGTAGACCTCACTTCCAATCAAGGCCCTCTCTCTTTCCAAACCTGAGTTCCCCTCATTGTTAGGGATTAAGGTGTGTCCTAAGGGTGTGTCAGCCTTTCAGCCAGGGGGATTTTCAGGTGTGTCAGTCTTCCAGCCCCAGCAGGCCGCCCATGAAGCTCTCTGGGTGTCACCCCTTGCTAGAGCAGCCAGGTAGCATGATTGAAATTCCTCTACAACCGCCTTCCTCCTCCAGCAAACAAACAGACCAAAAACAATAAAAAAACACAAAAACAAACAAACAAACATACCAGGCCAATTCTTTTTGCTTTTTGCCAAGTTGGACTCAAGTTCCATATGCTATTTATTGGATGATGATGCTGTAGGGTGTTCGAATTTTACAATGATTTGATCATTTTAGGTGAGCAGTACATCTAGTCCTGCCCCTATCTGATTTGGTGAGCTATGATTTTCTGGACTGGTTGTTGGGCAATGTTATCTTATACTGCATATCTGGACATTCCTCTGCATCAGGGTGGAGAACTTTGGTATTCCTTTGCAACAGTGTAGGTCTTTTCCTAATTCACCTGCTTTTCCTTTTGTCCTTCTGCTTTCTGGAAAAGTACTGATTGAAGTTATTTTATTATGGGGTACAGATTTCATAAAGAGCCCTGTAGAGCCAACTTGTTGCTTTCATTTATCTGTATTTTAAAATATGTTTATGTCACGTATTGTGTATGTCATGTGTACGGCGTTGTTGGGGCATGCACATATGAATAAGCTGCCCATCAGGACAGAAAAGGATAATCAAATCATGAGACAGACAGTGATGCTGGAAATTGATCTTGGGTCCTCCATGAGGGCAGCAGACATTCAACTGCTAACTCATTGTCTTTCTCCAACTTTTCTAAGTTTCTTTCCACTTCTGTTTCAAAATCATTGCTAAAACCCCACAGAAACCCCCATTTTTTTTCCAGGAGCTCATTTTGAGATAATTATAATTCCCATGAACTAGTCTCATTATAATAGTTTTAAATAAATTTTAATAAAGTATAAATAGTCCATCATTCATTATTTTGACACATATTAAATGAAGGTATTCCTGCTATATGATACATTTCTTCATTATTTACAGTTGCTTTGATAGCATCAAAGGTGGTAATACTTCAGAATAAAATAGACAGCTGCACCCCACTGTCTGGAATCACTTCAGTGGTATCTAGAACAACCAAGTATTTGTTCAAAAAGGCATGTACTGAAGGCAGTTATTTTGATCCGTGGATAGTGGATACAGAGTCAGGAGTGGTGAGAGGATGAAATGATCCTTACATTAGATATAAAATGCATGACTGATTTGCATGGATATCTCAGAATGAAAGAAAAAATGGTAAGTAGCTTCAAGTAGCTATTTCAATACAATAACAACACACACACAGACATACACACAGGAACACACAGACACAACCACACACATATACACAGACACACACATGAGTCTATGAAGTCACAGTTCCTCACCAGGAACTCACATAACAGTTATAGCTAATCCAAAACTATTTAGAAAACAAAAAAAATGTCATGGGTTTATCTGTATTCTCTGTTTATGCCACTCAGGCACAATATTCCTCCGCAACAGTTTTGATGTGTTTTTTCAGAGGCTTTCTCGTTGTCTGTATAGTAACTGCAGGAAGTCCTTTTAAGATCTAAAATTGTGAGAGGAGAAAGGGTCTTAACTCACATACAGGTTTATATGAGATGGTATGGTTGGAGACAGTTGAGTCTCACACCCACAAAGCAATTAGAAGTATTCTATCTTCAAATAATGAGTAAATAATTACTCCAAGGTGAATTACAGATTTGAAAAAGCATTTCAAGATTCACAAAATTGGATTTTATTTTTAGTTGGATGTATTTATAAGTGCTTGGTACCTTTTAATAGAAGTCCATTAATAAAAAAATATGGGAATCCTTTTCCTAAAAAAACCACATTTACTCAGCCCAAGTTTCCTGATTATTCAGTCATCATTGATTTTATGAATTAAACCCCTGATATCACTAATGGAGCTACTTTATGAATTTGCTGTTAGCACAAGGTGTAATAATTGATAAAGTAAAATTATGTAAAATCCATCATTAATTTTTGTTTAAATGCCTTTATCAACTATCAACTGCCTAAATATAATTGTACAAATATTCCTGTAAGATACTACTATTCTACTGCTGTAAGACTTACCATGATAAATTTGTTTGAAAACATAATTTGGTAGTAAAATAAGAACTGGTTCCAAAATCTTATGAAAATTAAATTATATTGTAAAACCTAATTGGTCTCAACAAAGCCTTCATTGGAATATTTGTCTGTTTTGTTGGGTGTCTTATAACTCTACCTCCCTTCCAACTATTATCCAACCTAATCCCTTCCAACTCCCAAACAGTAGGTAGTAGAGAAAGAATGATAAATGGGAAAAGGCTATAGATTTCTATGAACTATTTCCTGCTGTTTGTGCAGCTCTTATGCTATTTCCAGGTTTCCTGGGACAAGTCCAATCTTTATCTTCAGGATATACAGCAATGCAGCAAACCAGCAAGTCAGCAGTAGCAAATGCAACAGTAAATGCAGCAGCAAATGCAGCAGCAGGATGAACCTTAGCAGGACGGTGAGCAGAAGCTGCCTTCTCTGTCCGGGAGTGCCCTCTGGCATGCAGACAATGGTTTCTTATCTGCTGTGAATTTCTTACCTGCTACATTTTACAGTTTGAGCACAACAGAGCATTCATACTGTAATGAAGATGACACCATGTTCATAAATTCTGGCCCTATAACACATGCTTCTAGTTGCAATATGTCACATACAGGCATTCTAAGAGAAAACATCACTTAAGACATGTTTCTATACATATTATTTTATTTAAAACTTGTAGCAGCATGCTCCCCTTTAAGTTTATGAGTATTCATAGTAGTGGCAGGTTTTGGGGAGAAAAGATCTTATTTTACAAATGGGAACTTGAAGGTTAGGCTAATTCTGTTGTTTCCTTGTCTACAGACAGTATTTACTGATTATTGAATATTGTGTTTAACTATGTTGCACTGTAAGAAAGAAAAGAGCCTTCCACCTGAGCATATATGCATTCAATTCTTGAGACTCACATGGTCGAGAGAATTGATAACACAAATTGTCCTCTGACCACAAGAACATACGTATCCATACACATAGTAATTAAAAAGAATGATTCGTTGAAGATATTAATGCAATAAATAAATAAATAAATCCATTTAAATTCATGTAATTAGCAAGTAAAATAATCTTGTTGTAAAAAGGGATTCTTCTCATATTGTAAGTGGCGATTAATATTTACAACTGATACATCTTTTAGTAATGCTGCTGTTAGTCCTAAACAGCTGTATAACCAAATCACCACACAGAGACTGGGTTTATTTAGTTAACCTAGAACACAGTGCTGGGCAATAGTACTCCATCCTAAACCTCCAAGCCCTCATTGTTTCCTAACATTTAGATTTCCCACATGATATTTGCTTTTACAAATCTTACATCCAGTTCATTCTCCATGTAGTTCCAAGACCTCTTTCCCAGCCTTGCTCTCCCAGCTCTCTCCTGCCCTTGTCTCCTCCTCTGTCACCCACACCTTCCTATCCTCTAGATTCTCCCTCTCTTCCTGTTCCTTTCCATCACTCAACATTGTGGCTGGTCGCTTTATTTTTGCATTTTTTTTCATACAGATTTATTTATTTGTGTGTATGTGTCTATTTTGGCATGTTTACACAAATTTGAGACAGGTGATGCTTAGAATAAGTGTCACAATGCAATGTCCAGATTGAAACCAGAGAGTGGGGGAGAGAAATAAGCATTTGAATGAACAAGAGTAAGGTGCATACATTTCAAAAGAACATTATACCAACATTCTCATAAGTATATATGTGGGATTTCCATTCATCCTTGTGCAGGGCCATGCTAATCTTCTCTGTATCGTTCCAGTTTTAGTATATGTGCTGTCAAAGCAAAAACGGGATTTCCCTTCATTTTGTCAGAAGGAACTGTATGTATGTGTGTGTATGAGCGAACATGTTTTTGTGTATGTGTGTGTGTGTGTGTGTGTGTGTGCACTTGTGTTTGTGAGTATCTGAGTGTGCATGTATGTAAGGCAGGGGTTGATCTTAAGTGTCTTTCTTGGTTGCTCTCCTACTGGTTTTATGAGACAGGATTTCTTAATTTATTTGGAATTCTAATTATGCTAGTCTTTGTGGATAGTGATTCCCATGGAGTTGTTGTATGCTAAGCCAGTGAAGGGATTTCAATCTTTTTTTCCTCCACACTTGGCTCTTTCATGTGGATCCTGGGAATCAAACTCACATTTTTATTCTTGTGTACCAAGCCTTTGTCTAAAAGATTTGTGCCTCCAGTCCAAGTTATCAATTTTGGATAATAATAAAACTTTTAACTTTTAGTGGCTTGTTTTTCTGTTATCGTGTGAATAATTTGTAGTGAAATGGATATGTATTGAGGTAAAGTAAAAATATCTTCAAAAGGCATATGATAGATAGATAGATAGATAGATAGATAGATAGATAGATAGACAGACAGATACAGATAGAGATATATACATTTCTCAGCAAGTCTACTGTCAGGTGATTACCCATTGAGGGACCACCCAGGAATGAGGAAAACAACTGTGATTATTTGAATTGAAGCCAGGTACAGAGAGCTCTTGAAGGGTGGGGTGAACTGTTCTGAGGAACAAACAGCTGTAAACTATAGAGCAAAAGTGGTTTGGTTTTCAGGTATAAAAACCCTGTGCTTTGCATGTTCGGGGTCATCTCCTGCTTTTGGAGGGGTGACCCCATTGCGATTGGAATAAAACCTCTTGCTTTTGCATCGAGTTGTGGTCTGTGAGTGTTCCTGGGAAGGGCCCGATCCTGAGCTCCTGAGCAGTGAGACTCCAGGTCTTACATTTTGGTGTGTTGGCCGGGAATCGGTGTGCCCCTTCCTCAACCCTCACCAGACTGGACTCAGAGGTCGAGCTCAGAACAGGTTAGTTTGTTTTCTGGTATACCACTCTGTTTCTGTTTAGGAGCCTATCTGGACATTTTTGGTCATCTGATCAGTCATTGCAATAGACAGACATATCAGAATATCACTTGACTGGGAACTGGAGGACATTCCAGATCCCATCTGGGGAGGCTAGGTCTGGGATGGTCCTCCTCCCTTCTGTTTCTCATTGGAGATGGCTGCCTTGAGGCAGCCTCTTAATCAGAATTCTGTGGTAACACCTGTAAGGGCGTCCTTGTCTAATTGCCTGTCTTGTTCTCTTTGTCTCTATTGTTGTTGCTTCTTTGACTTTCTTGATGGACAACTTTATTATGGGACAGACTGTGACTACACCTTTGTCCCTCACCCTTGATCATTTCTTGGAGGTGAGATAGAGGGCACATAACCTTTCAGTTGAAGTTAAAAAGGGAAAATGGCAAACTTTCTGCTCTTTGGAATGGCCTACTTTTTAGGTTGGATGGCCACTGGAGGGCACCTTTCACCTTGGTAAGATCCTTGCTGTCAAGATTAAGACCCTCCAGACCCCAGGAGGCCACCCTGATCAGGTTCCCTATATTCTGACTTGGGAGGATCTAGTTTGTCACCCACCTCCTTGATTGCGCCCCTTTATTTTTCCCACAGGGACTTCCCCGACAGCCATTTGTGTGGTCAAGGAGGAGAAGAAGATACTTGCCACTCCAGATACAGATCTCCTTTTTGACCTTCCACTTCTTTATCCATCAGCTCTTCTCCCAACTAATCCCCCAGCAGGTCTGCAGCAGGGTGCCACCAGTCCCTCGGCACCACCACAGTCAACACCAAATTCTGAAAGCAAGAGTGCTGCCAGCAGTCCCTTGGCACCGCTGCAGTCTACATGAGATTCTGAAAGTGAAAGTGGTTCATCGGCGGGAATGCTGAGTTGCCAAGCAGCTCAGCCAGGCTCCACGACCCTTCCTTTGTAGGCCTATGGGCCCCTGATGATGATGGAAATCAACCCCTTCAGTACTGGCCTTTTTCATCAGCCGATCTCTATAACTGGAAGGCCCATAACCCTCCCCCCCTTTTCCAAAAATCCTCAAGATCTAACTGATTTGTTTAAATCTGTCCTATTATCACACCATCCCACTTGGGATGATTGCCAGCAACTCTTGCAGGCCCTCCTGACTATCGAGGAACAGGGATGGGTCCTCCTTGAGGCGAGAAAGGAGAAAGAATGTGCTGGGAATGGAAGGGAGGCCTTCTGTCCTCCCTAATGAGATTGATGATGGCTTTCCCCTCATCCGCCCCAACTGGGATTACAACACACCCGGAGGTAGGGAACGCCTGAAGGTCTACCGCCAGACTCTAATGGCGGGTCTCGGTGGGGCCATTTGAAAGCCCACCAATTTGATGAAGGTAAAGAGACGGTTCAGGGGCTGGATGAATCTCCCGCAGCCTTTCTTGAATGGCCGATGGAGGCATACCACCGCTTTACGCTCTATGACCCTATCGCAGATGAAAATATAACCTTTATAGAACAGTCAGCCAGAGATATTTGTAGAATACTCCAGAAAATAGAGGGTTTACAGGACAAGTCATTGAAGGATTTAGTGCAGGTAGCAGAAAATCTTTTCTACAGCTGGGAGAAAGAAGAAAAGAAAGAGGAAAGAAAGCAGAAAGAGCAAGAAGCGAGAGAAAGAGAAAGGGATGAGGCAAGACAGAAAGTTGACTAAGATCCTGGCCACCATAGTGCAGGAGAGTTGTAATGATAGGGAGAGAGTTCCTGGCAATCGGAGGGGCCCTCTGTCTAAGGATCAGTGTGCCTATTGTAAGGAGAAAGGACACTGGATCAAGGATTGTCTCAAAAGCAAGAAAAAGCCAGAAAAACCGAATGCTTGAGCCATGGAGACCCAGGTTCTAACCTTGGGAGATGATAGTGACTAAGGAGGACAGGGTTCAGCCAGCCTTCTTGAGCCCAGGGTAACCCTTAAAGTGGAGGGGAAGTCAGTCCACTTTTTGGTGGACACTGGCGCCCAGCATTCAGTTCTGTTAGAAATTGGTTGAAATTGCCTGCCAATCCCAGTACCGAATACTAAACCTCACCACCCTGACTGAGTGAGTGACTCAGGAGTGTGAACCCTGTCAGAGGGTAAACATAGGTAAGAATTTCCAGAGCCCAGGGAAGCGGCTGAGAGGAACTAGACCCAGAATGCATTGGGAAGTGGATTTCACTGAAATTTAAACCAGCCAGGTATGGCAATAATTATCTCCTGGTCTTTGTGGACACCTTCTCAGGATAGGTGGAAGCTTTTCCCACAAAGAAAGAAACAGCTCTGGTCATAGTAAAAAAGATTCTGGAAGAGATTTTTCTTTGGTTCAGTATTCCAAAGGTATAGGGTCAGACAATGGGCTGGCCTTCATTGCTCAGGTAAGTCAGGAGGTGGCCAGGTTTCTGGGGCTTGATTGGAAATTGCACTGTGCTTATAGACCCCGAAGTTCAGGACAGGTAGAAAGAATGAATAGAACTCTAAAAGAGACTCTCACCAAATTGACCATGGAGATTAGCAGTAACTAGGTGGTGGTCCTTCCCTTGGCCCTTTTAAGAGTCAGAAACACTCCCTCCCTACTAGGCCTGACTCCCTTCGAACTACTATATGGGGTTCTGATCCCCTGACTCTTCTTGGGGACCCCCTTGGAATAACTAGTGGTAACTCTGACTTGTTGTCCGGGATGAAAGGACTGCAGCTTATTCAGAAAGAAATTTGGAGCAAGATTGAGCCTGGGTCCTTGGAGGTGCCCCATCAGTTCCAGGTTGGAGATCTGGTATATGTGCGACGACATTGCAGCCAGAATCTGGAACCTCGGTAGAAGGTCCTTATTAGGTCCTGCTCCCCACCCCAACTGCTGTCCAAGTAGAGGGCATCACAGCTTGGATCCATGCACCACACGGCAAGCCTGCTCTTCATCAACCTGCAGACACCTGGAAAATCCAAGCCTCCAGCAACCCCCTAAAACGGAAACTCATCAGGGACAATAAACTCTCCGACCAGTAAGGGAACGTGTAAATGCAGTTCAGGTCCTGATGCTCCAGAGAGGTTGATCCACAATTTTAGGGTTAAAATTGAGGCAAAAAGAAAAGGGGGGAATGAGGGACCATCTGGGAATGAGAAAACCAACTGTGATTATTTGAATTGAAGCCAGGTGCAGATGGCTCTGGAGGGGCAGGGTGAGCTGTTCTGAGAAACAACCAGCTGTAAACTATCTACAACCAGCTGTAAACTATAGAGCAAAAGTGGTCTGATTTTCAGGTATAAAAACCCTGTGCTTTGCATGTTTGTGGTCATCTCCTGCTTTTGGAGGGGCGACCCCATCCCGATTGGAATAAAACTTCTTGCTTTTGCATTGAGTTGTGGTCTGTGAGTGTTCCTGGGAAGGGCCCAATCTTGAGCTCCTGAGCAGTGAGACTCCAGGTCTTACACCATAAGAAATGAAAATATGTGTTCACAGAGGGACTTTTGCACATGCATATGCACAGGGACTTTATTTTGAAAAAATGCTCAAACTGGAAAAAAAAAATCTATGAAGTCTTAGCAAGTACGTGGAAGAGTTGAGCAGCAAATCAGTGTGCATCCATATGGAAGAAGCCTGGATACCTGGTTGTGTTTTTGTTACCTGGTTGTTACCTAATTGTGGTTTGTTTCTTACACCAGGTTACAGGTTTGTTTGTTTGTTTGTGTGTTTGTTTGTTTGTTTGTTTTTAAATTAAAAAAAAAACCTGCCTTAGGATCAGACCAACTTCATAGTCTAACACCCAAGCCCACATTATGGCCCTGACTGGTCAGTTCTGTTTAGCACTCAATAAACCTCTGTTGAGTTCAGTCTGGTTTCTGAGCTGTCAGTGTGTGGCTATTCCTGAACCCTTAACAAGTGCCTGCATGTGTTGTACATTGTCTTGTCAATGAATCTCCCACAAGACTGGGTAAATTGCTGTTGGTAC